TAATTTTACAGTTGTACGAAATACAATAAAATCCAACAACAACAATTTATGTAAACTATGCGGTGTATTTAAATATGTTTTTGAGGTGACGCACCTTATCTAAATTATATTTGGGAGAAATTTCAACGTTTTTGGCACCGAAAAGCAAAGAATCGTCATTTCTATCTACCTGGTTAAAAAGTTTAAAAGTTTTACAATAATAATTAATATCTTTTGTGAGAGTGTTAAGGACAAAACGCTGAAATCTCAACTGGCTTGGCCATTGATCCCGATCACTTCTGACCATTTAAAAAAAAATTGACTCAAGGATTTGGACGTGAACTTAACAAACAGTTTCATTCTAATGATCTAATGAATAAACAAATAAACAAATAAATGAACACACTGATATAAATATAGAGGCATGTGCAAGTGCATTTTTGAACGGTACAGTACATGTTTGCCCATTAGTTATCTACATACATCACCGCACAATCTGAGACTGGAAGTGCATGTATGCCCGTAATGCGTGAAATAACAATTGAAAACCTGGGTTCTAAGTTTTACACACAGACACGCACACACACACACACACACACACACACCATATATACGTATATGTATATATAATTCAAAAACTGTGGTGTGACTTTGGAAAATAAAATTAGCGATGTGGCATTAAAAAGTTGGAATTGAAAACAAGAAAGAAGTAATTATGCAAGAAAGATGGTGGGATGGCTACTGGTTCAGCAGCACGGAAGAAACAGATTCAACAATACGGAAAGGAATATTTGAACAAACACGCTGCTGGTTTTTGCGATTTATAAACTTTAACATTACAGAATACAAAGTATATGTGGGCTGAATAAAATGATAATTTTCATCACAGAATGCGAAATCTTGCACAAAAAAATAAGTGTAGAAGGAAGAGGAAAAAGAAGAGGTAAGAAATGGAAAAAGAAAAGAAAAAAAGACTAACAAACAGGGATTAGGCGAGCAATTAAAGGCACATTTACAACAAACCAATGATCCTTCGTGCAAAAATGATGATGCATGGGGTGGCATGATGGTGCAATTGTTACAGTGCCCAGTTTTATATATATATATATATATATATATATATATATATATATATATATATATATATATATATATATATACATCAGTTTAATTTAATGGGTTTGATAACAAAATGTATTATTAAAATTAGGTAGAAAAAGGTAAATAAAATTAGGTGAAATTGAGATCTTCATCAGAAAAATAAGTAATAAAATGAGGACATGGAGTTAATTAAATAACTAATTCCTCTGAAATGTGAACAGCTGTTGATGAATGACTGCAAGGGATGAATGTTGATGATGGATGACTGCAGACCACTGCATGGAAACATCAGTGCTGATAATTAGGAAGTGAAATGGAGAGGAGGTGCGAAGAGGCAAATAGGAAACTTCATCCCTTCAACACGTGTGCCTGTTGCATGATGCATGCCTGGGTTGGAGGAGATGGTCAAGTCTTTGCGAAAATATTTCTAAGAACGATTCATCAATGAGAGTAAGGAGATTAAAAATGTTTAAAAATAAAAGAGAAATGTATGACAGTTTAATTGAATTTCAACCGGGCGGCACCGACCAATCAGCAAACGCTCTCTCACCAACCATCGTATCAATCAGTCGGCTGAATTAACCAGCAAGTTGAAATTCGTTAGTGTGATGGTGTTAGTGTTTGTTTAGTAAACAAGGAAGAGGATGAGATGAATGTTTGATGTGCACGTTTCTTCCCAATTGGATCGCTCCTGCGTTGAAATCTCACGTGCCCGAATGCAAGTTATCCTCGCTGATACAACACGCACGGACGGCATAATTTTTTTGTTTGCCTAGCACATCGGCAAACATAAACATTCCTCAAAACACCAACTTATTACATTTTTGCACTAGTTCTTAGCACCCAGAGCAACTAGACTTGTTTGCAAATAATCATCATCCTAGCGTAACATTACCGCCGTCGTCGTCATCGTTGTCGAGAATGTCGTAATCATTGTTGTCATGTGCAAAATCATCATCAAATTGTTGCTATTATCACCATTGTTATCTTTCTCCTCTCTCGTCATCATCACCACCACCAACATCACCATCATCATTATCATCAACACTGCTGACATCTTTGTCACTATCATCATCACCAACGTCATCTCGTCTCCATGGAAACGCAATATTGTTCTAGATGATTATTTTTGCGTGTGGCGGTGGCTCGTGTTGTGTGGACGCGCGGATGGAAGCGTCCGTGTGCTTCTCCCTAGGCCTTCTTATGTCGCTTCCTCTCTTCTGCTGCATGTGGGAGGAAACTCATTTGAATATTTGCATAATTTATTAAAATTAATGAAGCGATGTTATACTGCTCAGCGAGTTTAGGATTTGCTTAATTGGATGTTTAGTTTTTGAAAAAACGTGCCGTAATACAGTTAAGAACGAGGAACGCATGATGCTTTCTTACTTATCTGTTCTCAAACTTGTCATCTTTCAGAGACAACATTAATTTATACTATGTAGCTGTGACGACGGTGCACCTAAAATCGTCGTCCCAGAAAAGTTGCAATTCATATTTCATAAACAGCTGATGTTCATCGTTGACAACAAACATTTTCCTCATTTTATTTTAAATGTTGAAACAGTTAATTATGGGTCTCAAAATTTTGGTTATGCAAAATTTTAAAAACCTTCACGTCATCTAAAAATTTCAACAGCCAAAAAGTCAGACGGATAATTTTTTTAAATAATGAAAGCTATCCAAAACTGTAAAAAATTAAAACAAAACCAGATAAGAATGAAAAGACCAATTTCAATTTTTAAGACAGACATGTTGATAACGGAAATGTTTTAACAAGAAATTTTACAAGTTCGACTTGAAAAATTGAACGCCACAAAATCACTTGCATACCAGAGAAGTTCCGCTGATGTTTTTTTGTTGGTGGTTGTCATAAATATAAAAAGAGAGAGAGAACGAAAGAAAAAGAGAGAAAGAAAAGGAGAGAAGATTGGTAGGAATAAAGAGGAAAAAAAGCTAAAGAAGAGAGGTAATATACACATGTGTCTGAACGTGTTGTCCTGTTCATAAATGAAACTGCATGTAATTTATGCTTTCTTAGATGCTATCTTGCAGAGGAATTATTTGTGAGCAACATTTTAATCATACATAACGGGGTGGATGGATGTATTGCGGGGGAGGTCTGTATACGGACGGATGGATGTGCTGATGTATATGGAGTTGGATATATTATGGATAGATAGATAGACAGATAGACAGACAGATGGATAGATATATAGATATATAGATGGATAGATATGTAAATGTTGGTGGATTATAAGATACATAGATGCGAAAAAAGAACAAAAATCAAAAATTTAAGTTGATACTAAGTGGATGATAAACAAACTTAAAAATCGATTGACAAGTAGTAGATGAGTGTGTAAATTAATAGATGGATGGATGGATAGTTGAATGGATGGATAGTTGAATGGATGGATAGTTAAATGGATGGATAGTTGAATGGATGGATAGTTGAATGGATGGATAGTTGAATGGATGGATAGATGATTGATTGAACGAATGAGTAACAAAATGACTGCAATTTTGTTTAACACGCCATTTCATTCGAACGGAGCGTACGACAGCCCTATTCCATCCAATTATTTCATTTAAGTCTATTTAGATTTTGTAATTGCAGCCTAAGAATGCACATTCAAATGTATTTTTAGATTTTAATTCTGTTAGCAAATTTGATGTTTTCATTTAAATTTATCGATTAAACCATGTTAGTTGTTAAGAAAAAATATAACTTTGAAAAGAATTGTGGAATTAAATTACCATTTTTTAGTTTTTAGAAGGAAAATTTTGAAGACAAAAATTCTTTTTTTATAATTTTTTTTCAATACTACTAGCCCAAAATTATTCTATTAAGTGAATTAATTAAACAATTCCATTTTATAATTGGGTTACAAATTTTATAACCTTCCAACGAAGCAGCTCAAAATGTTTGCGTTGAGAAAATAAAAAAATTTTCTTTGATTCAAATGTTTGGTCTTGTAAATACAAAACTCTCCGAAATATTCTTAAACAAATTTAATTTTTTCCGAGAGACAAAATTTTAAAATGTCTGATCCTGATTGTCAAATATTTTATCACAAAATCAAGCTGGTCCGCGTTAGCAGAGGTTTTGTTAGAAAGTGATTTAATCATATTTTACCTTTATTCATAAACACGTCAGACATATTTTTCAAATATATTTTAATTTTTAAATAGAACTAAAATTCGGAGCATGTGTAACAAAAATTTCTGAAAAAAAATCGAATAAATTTATACTTTTTTGACAGCATTCCATTTATTTCTTACCATTTTAAATTGAAAGTTTGCAACCCACATTCACATTTTCATCTTACAATTCATCCGGCGTTCACACACACACCATATAAACACACACGCACACGCACATATAAACAAACACACAACACATGCATATATATACATACATGTGAGCACGCCCAAACACACAAGCACACGCAAGCACCTTCCCCTACACAAAAATACATACACAATTACACACAGACTCACGTACATAAACACACACCCACACAGAAAAACACTTACACATAGATAGAAACAAAAACTCACATTTCCATTTTCCTTCTCAGGAGTGGTCTCATAGATGTGTGACTCGTTAGACCTCAGCTTCTCCAAGTATCTTCGCTGGTCAGTCAGGAAGTGGTCATTAGATTGAAAATCATTTTTCAAATATTTTCCTCATTAAATTGTAAAAAAATTATTGACTGGGGACTGAACGTGATATTGTGCAGTGATTCAAATCTTGAAACTATCAAAATATTTTATATACCTGGTATATACGTTAAATTTCGCCTTTTTATTAGAATCGTTTACTTATAACTATTATTTTTCAAATATTTTCAGTTCTGATATTCAAATTTTTATAAGTTTGTTTTGATAATTTCTTTACTCGTCTTATCATAGCTTCACTTGAAATATCTGAACAGAGCAAAACCTAGAACAAAAATGTAAAAACACGAGAACAAACACCTAAACCAGGAGCTACCTACCTTTTTCCTCTTGACTTCCATCCTCGACTTACAGATGAACTCAACAGAAGCAGCAATCATGGAGAGGCCGAGACCGCTGATGAGGATGTAGAAGATGCCCGCCACGTTACTCAGGGAGAGACTCTGCGATGAACCACTACCCTGAGTGGGTGGAGATAGGGGGATGAAGATGTGAATAATGAGATTAGAATGTGATGACGTCATGATGTAATGATGCTTTGATGATGACGCTACGATGTTTCTGATCACATAATTTTTATGAAAAGAAAATTTGAGTATGTCTCTTATTATTATACACTATTAAATATATCGTCCGCTTCAAACAGTTATTAGTTTTTTTGATTACATTCATATGTATATATTTCGTATATAATCTTTAGTTCTTCTTTATTTTTCATATTTTTTTACTGTCATGGCAATTTTAAAATGGTTTTTCTTTTTTTAAATAGTAAATTAATCAATTTGACGTAATAGTTTTATTCTTCAAATTACGATTTCAATCGTTTTTTTAGTCAGATTTTCTGCACTCTTATTTTTGTATTATTATAATATTGTATTATTCTTTTACTTAAACCTTCCTTAGAACTTCACAGTCACCCAGCACTTGTTTAATTTTTGAATGCCTGTCGGTGCTGAGAAAAAGGAACACGGAGTCATTGGTAACAATTAGCCTTTGTTTGATTGACTGATCAAACTGGGTATAAATACCAGAGGTTTTTGAGGTTTTGAACAAACAACCAACTAGACTTATTTAAAAGTGAGTAACTCTAATTAAATTTTTTACCCATCTAAAAATCTTGCATCATCAACAGCAACAACATCATGGATAACATTAACAATAAAATGATCGTTATAAACAAAGAAGAAAAAGATGTTAACAAAGTTGACAAGTTGATTGCCGAAATCTTAGTCTCAAGCACATACAACATCATTGATATGTACGAGAAAAACAAAATTTTAATAAAAATGTACAAAGACTTCAAAATGAAAGTCAATCGTTTGGAAAAGAAACTGGAGTTGTCATAGGAAAAAACGGAAGAGGAAATCAAGCTGATGATGGTTGACATGCAAAAAATAAAAATCGAAAACGAAAAGCAGAAAGCTAATATGAAATCGCCAAAAAACGAAAACCATGTCAACGAAAATGATACCGATGATTTAGAAAATGATGCTGATAGAAAACCTTACAAGATATGTCTTTTGGATAAAAACTGCATGCTGAAGAAGGAGCTGAAAATTCATAATGAATAAAACTGCAGCATTAGAAGCAGAGAGAAGATATGAAATCATTAAAGACTGCATCAAAAACGATTAAAAAAGATTTGACGAGAGTAACTGCACCAACTACGACATCTACATCATCAACAACAACAATCTTGACATCAACAACGGTATGTTTATAGTGTAAATAAATGTATTTATTTGCTCTTTTAATTCATTTCATTTTTCGTTAAAATTTTAATTTAATTTTGTGCAATTCAATAAAAAGTACTGCAAACTAAGGTGTTTTTAGGTAGTTCACAGAAGGACATTTTGGTTGATAGAAACGTACTTTTACTCTGCAGATTGTGGATTCATATCTAGCTCGTCTATTTATGTGGATTAAAGTCGACACATTATTTTTTTGCATTTGTGGATTCAAGTCAATACACTAATGTTATTGTTGTATGTATATATTCGTTCCTTCAATTTATTTCATTTTTTATGATAATATAAAAAGAATTTCAAAAATAAATAAATAAGAAATGTTGATAGTATAACTGAGGGTACAGATTGCACGGACGGCAACAATTTTGATGAAATCAATGAAAAAATTACAATAAAAAGCGTTAGGAACGTCGTAGAGAGTAAAATAATAAAAAAAAGTGAAGAAGAAATATTTAATATCAAGATGCGTTGGTACGCACACCGTACCACGCGTTCACGAGCGTACATTTTATGCTAGGGAGGATAAAATAATTTTATTAAACGTCACAAAGAAATGCGACTCCGTTGTAACCCTGTGACGTCATTTGAAGCATTGTTGGCAAATTTCACGATTCGTCAGTTTTCAAATAAGAACGCCCAAAATATGAATAATAAAACTCATATTAAAATGCATCATTCATGTGAAAAGTTCTCAACTTCGAATAAAATGAAATGTCCCATCTGACCTCACATAGAAACAACAATAACAACATAAAAACAGCATTATAAAATTAACTTGAAAACAATCACATCAACAAAATTCATTTCCAACAATCACATCAACGACGTTAACATTTACTCCATTAACACAACAACACGTAAAGTTTATTATTTTCAGTAAATGTTAGTAATTTTCAACAAAATTACTATCGTTTAAACAACCGCAACAACTAAATGAGAAACAACAACATTGGCGAATAAACCAACACCACAAACAAAAAAAAAAACCAACTTTGTTTTCAGACTCCACAACGCACTCTCCTTTGTCGTACCACCATTTTTTGTGCAATTTCTGCAACTTTTCCTCCTCCAAAAGTTTCAAAATCACGAAGTTCACTTCTTCCCTACGAAATGAAAATTTTTTTACAAGTTACTCTGCTAAGAATTGTAATCCATTGATTTTTATATCACTATTGTCATCATTGTTATTATTATCACTATTTGTCTTTCCATGTAGATTTGTGGTATCCAATTTTAAGTCATTCGTTATCTATATTCATTCGCCTAGCTATTAATAATAGCACCATCCAGATTCGTTTTCCTACTCGGTCCCATCTTCGTCGTCATCATCATAACATCATTCGTTATCATTCTTATCATCATTCTTGGCACCAATATCATCGTTGTCGTCGTCATCATCAATATTACATTATCATCTTAATCTTTGTTTTCGTTATGTGAGATGTTTCAATTATTAAAATTTTTATCATCATCATTATCATTATCATTAACCACTTGTTTATTATTATCATCACAACAATCATCATTATCATCACATCGTCATCACAACAATCATCATCACAACAATCATCATTATCATCACATCGTCATCACAACAATCATCATCACAACAATCATCATCACAATAATCATCGTCATCACTACATTCATCGTCATCTTCATCATCTGCATAACATTTTTGCGGCCTCTTCATGATGGAATATCTTCTTAATATTCGTTGCGATAGAGGAGGTAGAAGGTGGTTTGATGAACTGAACAATTGCGAATTTCAGGATTGCCGGCTTACTTATTTATTTAAGTCGGTCCACGACGCAAAAAATACTTCAGCGGAACTTTTATTGGATTTAAATTCCCTAGCCATGTCTTTTTATTTGTTTGTTCAAAAAAATTTAATCTCCTTATCGTTTTGTTTAAATTTTTTAAACTTTTACATTTGAAAAAAATATAAATTATTTTATTATTTAACATATTTTGTTCAAGGTGAAAGTCCTAACTTAAGCAAGGCATTTATTTTAATCATGTTTCTACAACTCTTATAAGTCTTTTAATTCTTAGAATTTAAAATTCTCAAGACATTTTAACCAGCTAAAAAATGTTCCGCTAATTTTTTGACTGTTTTTTTTTATTTTAATGTTATGTTAAACATTTGTTCCAATATATTTGTTTTTATTCTAAATTGATAAGTTTAAATAAATTATTTAAAAACTCAAAAGGTTGGCGTAATTAATTGCTTATTTATTACATTTGTGAACTTTTGCTGTGTTGCGAAGACTGCTCCCTTTTTACAAACTAATACTCGCCACCGCCAGTCTATAGGCGGTCTCGCTTCTAGTCGAGACTCGTCTCTCCACAATGAGTTAGTTAGTTGTCTCTGGGTCAAAAAACCAGCCATATTATGTTAACCGTCGACAAGTCTTCTTCTTCTGACATATTTGTCAAGTTTTAGGAAAGTCAAAAAAATTGAGACACGTTTATTTAATAATTACTTACTATTTTTGTCAAAATGATGAACAACTTCAAAAGTTTTTCACAGAATAAATAACAAATTTTCAAAATAATAACCAATTTTTAACGACGACAGTGCAACAGCAAAACAGCGCCTGGAAAAAACTCGTAAAACAAACCAACAAGACAATAAACACCAACGAACAACCAAGAAAACCAGCAGAAAATAAACTTACTTTACCTTCTCAAACGCATCTGTACATGTATGAAAACAGTATTCGTACACACACCCGCACGAGAAACAATCTAGGAACAATTCAGTCTCAAACACACTGACCAATGACCGACCATACTCTTGTATACTAACAACAAATTTACTTGCGTTCAAACAATATTATACCAACTGCAAACATAGCCAGTTCATACGACATTCTACCAACATGGCATACCGTACTTACAAATTGAATTTTGTAATATTTCAGTTTAATTGTAGCAAGCGAGTACATAGCTAAACCAGATCGGGAAGGAAAACTAATGCGAGATTGTTTTGAGTATAGACTAGGGATGCATTGGATTGATTGGATCACTTAATCTCATTGCTCTTTAATCATTTCTGAATAATGCGAGTGATGTGATTCAGTTATAATGTGATGATGATGATGGTGGTGTGGTGATGATGTGGTGATGATGGTATGGTGTGGTGATGATGATGTCGTAATGATGAGGTTGTAATGTTTAAAAACTCTGGCAACAAAAAAAAACTATGTTTTGTTGTGACAATGTTGACAAAAAAACTGTTGAATAAGCGATGATTGTGTTGTTATATAATTAATGTCTGGAGGATTTTGTAACAATAATAACGTATGTAACGATGTTAATGTAATGTGGTAATGATTTTACGAGAAAAAATAGTAATGATATTGATGTTTTAATGTGGTGATGGTGTTAAAATGTGAAAAGATGACATTACATTTGTTATTTTGTTATGATGTGACACTTGTTATTTTGATGTGAATGAATATTGGTCATAATTTGATAGCGTTTGTAAAAACTTCTTTAACGAAACGCTATATTAAGTTTTTTTTCTTAATAATAATAATTATATGAATGACGTAATAATGATGATGATGATGATTGGAAAGTGATGATAATCTGTTGATGGTGGTAGCGATGGATGAAGCAAAATGATGATGATGATGTGTGATGATTGGATGATGAAGTGAGTGTGATACGGCGGTACGACGTTATGACGATAATAACGAGAAAATAATGAAATTATATGAAAATTTATTCGCATGTCTTGTGATATGCAAATGATGCCTTTTTTCTCACCTAAGTAACCAACCCAGGTGCGTTTGGATGTTTACACAAATTAAGAAAGGCACATCTATCTTCTTCTTCTGTGCAAATTTCAAATGTCAAATATTTTTACTTGGAAAGGTGCAGTTGAATATGGTGAAATGTGAAAATATATACAAAACACGCACACACACACACACACACACAAACACACAAACACACACATATATATATTTATATAATAAAAGATTTTTAATAAAGAAGATATTTCGTAGAATGTGTGCGGAATGTGTTGCACATGTTTCATCTGGACTCCCGTCGACCTCAACTTTAAATAAAATTTCTACCTATATTCATATGTGATTGATGTGACGTGCTCTCTTGCTTAAATGCACACACGCTCGCACACATACAGACACACACTCACACATACAAGCACACATACAAACATTCACACATAACAACACACACACACATATATATATAATATATATTCCTGTTATCCATCGCAAACATTTTTATATTAATTGCCTTACACGAAAAACACAACTGACCAGCAGAAAGCAACAACATCTCCACTGTTCACAAGCGGATGCTTTTTCCTTCATAATGTTTATGCATCAGCTAACTCATATAGATACGATCCTTATATATTTTCGGGCCAAACTTTCACGCACACACACGCACACACACACACACATACACACTCACACACAAACACATACAAAACAATGATATAAGTGCTTTATCTTAATACACTTGCTCTATCTAAAACGTTGATCTAAACTAATTCGCTCGCAAGCAAATGTGTACGATGTACAGTGTACACCACAGTGCACCAAGCAGATGCGCATAAACAGCACAGTACCTATCCTAATGCTTAACTCTAAATTATTTACATAATAATACATTATTATCGAAAGTAGGAATGTTTCTACGAGTTTGCATGCATGCATTATACATTGCATGGTCGCTGAGAACACAATTTATAAACCTAACAAGATGAGATGAGCCGAATCAATACACTCGTTGTTCTTTCTTAGTGTAGCACAGCATCTGCAAGCACGCATTCCCGCATGCATGCATGTGTATATGAACCCTGCCTATTCTATATGTGCAGTACATGCATGTATCTATTTAATTCACGCATATGCATGAATGTGTTTGTGTGCGATTAAATGTGCATGCATACAAATACTTGGTCAAGTTTGTAATTACACAAATACTTATACAAATATTAATACTTATTTCTGTTTGTTTGACGGATGCACTTTTTTTTAATGAAGTACACATGTGTTTTGTTTCTGTCTAAGTGACACACACAAAATAAATTTTTTGTGTGTTTATAAAAAGCTTCTGTCCGTGTGTGTGTGTTCGATGTTGCAGTTTGTGGGTGTGTGTGTGTTTTTTGTTGCAGTGTGTGGGTGTGGATGTGTGTGTTCTTTGTTGCAGTGTGTGGGTGTGTGTGTGTGTGTTCTTTGTCGCATAGGCAGTTTTTTATGTGGTTTTGTGTAAATGTTTTAATGAATGTATGCGCATAATGAATGAATGGATGAATGAATGAAAGAAGGAATGAATAAACGAATAAATGAATGAAAAAGCGAATGAACGAATGTATATATAAACACACATATATTTGTGTGCATATATAGCATGTGTGCACGTTATTGCGTGTGTTAGTACCTCAATTTATGTTGCAGGGTGCTCTGCTGTTCATAAATCTTCATTCATCGCTGTTTTTAACTATTAATTTCCATTCTATGCTTATTTTTTCGTACCCCTAATCAGTGTGTTCTGTTTAAGTTCTAAGGTTTGGTGTGTATGGGCGGGAAAGTTTCAACTATGATGATTGGAATTAATCCTCTTGAAGAAAGCGATCTTATTAGAAATCCTCTATGAAGGTGGTTGTTGGTTTGAATTAAATGACGACCTCCGCAAACATAAGCCAATTTTAAATTAATTGAAGTTCAATGCTGTCTAACAGTTATTAAAAAATAAATTTTGAGATATCATTTGCACATGCCAAACCAAAGAAAAACATGACATTTTTTATACTCTCATCGTGATCAATCGGTGAAAATTTTTTCACTTTGCCTGCAGAAATATTTTGAAAAATGAAAAAATAAGTTATATTTTATTCATGCAATTTGTATTGGGATTCCAAATTTAATTGCACCAAAGCACAAAATTTATCATTTTGAATTACTCAAATAATTTTTTTTTGAAAAACGATGAATTTTTTTTCAAAAATACTTAGAAGCAACAGAGAAATGGTTTTCGTGGTTTTAAAAACGAACTTCATTTGCATGCATTAAAATTCTCAATAAATTCCTCACATCGCTGTGTGTGTGGTGGTGTGTGTGTGTGTGGTGTGCAAGCGTGTGCGTGTGTGTGTATAATTGTGGTGTGTGTGCGTTTGGCAGGGAGAGCGCTTTAGAAAATGTTTCATAAACACTAATTAGATAAAAATTAATGAGTGAACTGAACATGTTGGCACACTCAAATGTCTGTCAATATATGCAACCAATCAAAGATGCAGGAAAAGTAGGTACTTACCTTTATAGAAGAGTACCTTTTATAGACAGCAAACTAAATAATTTTTTTGAGAAATACAAAGTTTTTTAGTACACCATGAAATTAGATTTTAAAAAGTGATTTAATTATTGCACTGAACAGTTTTGCGAATCACGAGATAGCCATAAATGTCATATATAAGATCCTCATTCATTTCAATACATACAACGAAAAAGTTAGGCCATACATTATGTAAATAAACTGTGTGCTACGTTAACTCGAAACTACGTTACGTTTAGAGTTGATGTACCTATTCATCAGCATATGTAGTTCAGTAATGAGAAACTTCACTCTGAGAGCCTCTTGAAAATCACAACATATCAAGTCTCAAATGATTGGCATTTACAATTTCTTTCAGTTATGTGATCAGGTTAGGTGAATGTGTAAGGAGTTGTGCTTTTGAGATCGTTACTTAGCAGGAAATTAATGCAAGTAATTTAAACTGAAAATGTCTATTCAAATTTTCCACACATTTTACTTTTACATAAAATCTGGGCAATAAGGGCAAGTATGAAAAAAAAATTTCTGTCTACAACTTTGTATGGATTGGTTCATCAATAGAATGCGATCAAAAATTTTTTAAAGCCATTTTAAACAACAATTAATGAAAGCCTTTAATATTTAATCAAAGAAAGTGAAATTTTTCTCGGCTGCTTGATTGATGTACATCTTTTTAACAGGCTCCGATGTTTCTCTGTTTGCATCTCTCTCTGCGCTTCCAATTACATTAGAAGTTTGCAAATATTTTATAGATGCAAAATTAATTTACATCATTAATTTCCTAAACACGACCAACAAATATCCTTCGTGTAAGGTGGCATTTATGCGTAATTTAATTGAAGCATTCGCTCTTAGAAATGACTTTTTACAATTTTCACTGAATATCTTGTACGAAATTAAATCTTCAGATACAAACACAATAATAATATTTCCATAGTGTGACAGCTTGAAACTGAAAATAATTCGCCATTGTGCATCAGCAGCCCCTAAGCACTGCTGGGAAAGCAAAAACATTTCATGAAGTGATTTCTGTCACAAAACAAAGGTATTAATTTGCATTTGTTTGCAAATAAAATTTACGTTAGCAGCGTTTCATCGTCTGCTGCCACAGTCACGCCACGGGGTTTCTGCGCAGTTCCGGTTCGGTGTTGAATTTTTATGGAACTTTCTGGATTAGATATATAGGTATATATGTATTTTTACAAATGTGTATGTGTGTGTTTGTCTATGGGTATGTATGTGTGTGTGTGTGTGTGTGTGTGTGTGTGTGTGTGTGTGTGTGTGAGTAGGTATGAATGTTGTGTGTGTGTGGGTATGGGTGTTGTATGTGTGTGGG